CCGGCACCATGTCCATGCTGCCCACCTTCGGCTTCACGCAGGAGCAAGTGGCGTGCGTGTGCGAGGTGCTGCAGCAGGGCGGCAACATCGAGCGGTTGGGCCGCTTCCTGTGGTCGCTGCCCGCCTGCGAGCACCTCCACAAGAATGAAAGCGTGCTCAAGGCCAAGGCCGTGGTGGCCTTCCACCGCGGCAACTTCCGCGAGCTCTACAAGATCTTGGAAAGCCACCAGTTCTCGCCACACAACCACGCCAAACTCCAGCAGCTGTGGCTCAAGGCGCACTACATCGAGGCGGAGAAGCTGCGCGGGCGGCCCCTGGGCGCTGTGGGCAAGTACCGCGTGCGCCGAAAGTTCCCGCTGCCGCGCTCCATCTGGGACGGGGAGGAGACCAGCTACTGCTTCAAGGAGAAGAGTCGCAGCGTGCTGCGCGAGTGGTACGCACACAACCCCTACCCGTCACCCCGCGAGAAGCGAGAGCTGGCGGAGGCTACCGGCCTCACCACCACGCAAGTCAGCAACTGGTTCAAGAACCGGCGGCAGCGCGACCGGGCGGCCGAGGCCAAGGAAAGGTAGGAGTAAGTAGAACTTCTTCGGAAATGGCTTCCCGAGGCCCCAGGGAGGGAGTCTTATCTCAGGGTGCCTGCCCACCCCTGAAAGAGGTCTCAACTGGACACTCCAGTCCCAGCTGCAATCCAAGTGCAGTCTGGCCCGACTCAACTGACACTTAGGTCTTGTAAGAGAGTGGATGGGCTGGGATTTGTCTGAAGCGGGCAAAGTGACACGCGGGAAGCTGTCAACTAACTCCCTGGTCCCTGTGGACAGAAGTGGAGATGCAACAGGCTTCTGGGCAGGGGCAGAACTGTAGGCCTGACTCCCCAATAAGGGAGGCACATCCGGGTAAGACTGATCTTCTCAAGAAAGACCAAGGACAGTGTTGGGGCCCAAGCAAAAGCGCATTGTGAATTTCTGGCTGACTGTGCTTCCCTCATTTCCCTTCGATCTTCCTCACCCCCAAGCCAAAGGGTGACTAGGGGTCAGGCCTGGGATTAGAACTTCCCTAGGATGGCCTGGATGGAGAAAAGCATGCGCAAGGATATGGGAGTTGAGAGGCAGTTCCTTATCCTGTGAGGAAAGGCCTCAGGGAGGAAGTGTCAGCTGTAGGGGGAGAAGAAAAATACATGCCCCCTTTTCTGCCTTGCTGGACCCAGCAGCCCTTCCCAGGCTTGCTAGACCTTTGACTTCTCTCCTCAGGTTCTGCCCTGCTTGGTGGGTAGGTCGGTAAGTCTGGGTTGACCTGAGAGCTATAGAAGGAAGAGCTAGGAGTGTCTGTCCTACAGGGAAGCAGGCCTTCCTGAACTATCCAAAGACTACCTACTCTATAACCTGTCAGAAATTCAAATCTGGATGGGGGAATGGGAGAAGAATCAATGGTGAGAAACAGAATCCAGCCTGAGGAGACAGCAAAACAGGACACCTGGGGTTGGTAGTGTGGGAATTATTGAGCCCAGAGTTTGAATGATCCGGGTCAGGGGTGGGAGCGCTGAACAAATGGAGGGGATACTGCCTACTGGGCCTTGCTCTCTGACTGGGAGGCTGAGTATCCTCTTCGGCAAGGTCTCCTCTGCCAGCCCTGAAGATTCCTTCCCAAAAAATCAGGAAGGAAAAGACCCTGGAGAAATTCTCTCTCACTCTCTCTCTCCCCCCACCCCGTTCTTCCCCTCTCCCTTCCTCCCTCCTTCTCCCCCCCCATTTATATTCAAATACCCAGATCTAGGCAGTGTGGCACATTCTCTGTGCTGGGTCCCCCTCCTCCCAGACTGGCGTGAGTCCAGATGCCTGAAGCGTGTTCTCCTACAGGCCCCAGGTGAAAGCTATAGATCCAGTCCCTGCGTTTCTGGTTATGACAGGAAAGTCTAGCCCAGGACTGATAAGCTCCTTCCTTCCTACTTGCTTCTCCCAAGGACTACCTTTCAACACTCCGGCTTCCGTCTATGGCCAATAGCTGGAGTTACCAGAAAAAGAGAGCTCTCTTGGAGCCTGGGCCCTAGTCCCAGCAGGGACTGCCCTTCCAGGGCCTACCCAGTTTGGATTTAAGGGAAAGAGACCTCAAAAGCCTGTCCTCAGCCATGGGCTTCACCTCAGGCTGAAAAAAGCAAAAAGAAACCAAGGGCTGTAAGATGCCCAATTTCTTATGGGTCCCTCAGCCCTTGAGTTAGAGCCCCTCATTCTCCTGGCCCCAGGATTTTTTCTTCCTCCCTGCTCACTCCTAATCTCCATCGTGCCCTGCTGACCTGTTTCTTTTCCAGCAAAGAAATGCGGATATAGAGCAGGAAAAAGAGGCCTAAGATTGAGAGCATAGGTGGGGATAGGTACAGGAGAGGGACAAGACAGGTGTCCATGTTCAAAGGTCTTAGGACTGGCAGAAAGGATTACCTGAGGCCAGGCAAGAAAGGTGTAGAAGCCAAAAACTCACAAAAGCAGCCGTGGAGCAGTGGCTCTGTCTCCCTAGTCTGAGTGGGCCAGGCTCTGGCTCTATGAGATGATGCTGCGAGGCCTCCATTTCCCCTCTGACAGCTGCTTTGCTCCTGAACTTACAGGGAAAACAGCGAGAACTCCAATTCCAACAGCCACAACCCTCTGGCTTCCTCGCTCAATGGCAGCGGCAAGTCGGTGTTAGGCAGCTCTGAGGATGAGAAGACGCCGTCGGGGACCCCAGACCACTCGTCGTCTAGTCCGGCGCTGCTGCTCAGTCCACCGCCACCCCCCGGGCTGCCGTCCTTGCACAGCCTGGGCCACCCTCCTGGCCCCAGCGCCGTGCCGGTGCCCGTGCCCGGCGGAGGCACAGACCCCTTGCAGCACCACCATGGCCTGCAGGACTCCATCCTCAACCCCATGTCGGCCAACCTCGTGGACCTGGGCTCCTAGAGCTCTGCCGCCTCGGCGTACCGGCCTTCCAGGCTCGGCGCTGGGGACCTGAGAGAGGCGGTGCGGGAGGGCGCTCTGCGCGGGCGATCCCATCAGGTATTGAAAGACGGGCGCGCAGGGCGGGTAGAACCTGCGGCTAGGCGAAGCGGACTGCGCTGGGTCCTTCCTTGTTCGGAATTTATTTCCAGCACCTAGCTTTTGAGATCCTTTGGGGCCGGTCTTCAGACAGAGAAAGGAATAAATTATACACCATTCTTTCTCTCTTCTCCTCCTCTCGCCCCTCCTTTGCCTCCTCCTCTTCCCCGCTTTCTTTCTTTTTTTCCTGTTTCCTTCTAGATTTCTGTATTTCTGGTTCGTTCTCTCTCCTGTCCCGCGGTCTCTTGCACTCTTTGCTGCCTCTTAATCTGTAACCTCAGCCTTTCTGCTCCTCTCAGCCCTTACTTTCCCCTGTCGGGGAGGAAGAAGGAAGTCAGGGCCTTTGACCCTAGGCCTCCAAAGGCTCTTCCCGAGGGCTCTGTCCCATCAGTGGGCGCTGCAGGTGTCAGCTTTTTGCCTCCTAATTTAAGTGAAAGGAAGGGGCGATGCCCCATGCCCCGCATTCCCCGAAGGCGAAGGCCGGGCCGCCGGCACCCCCCTGCGACCCTGGGCGAGGCCCCACC